ATATATATATATATACATATATATATATATATATATATATATGAATCGGATCGTGATGAGATCACGATAATGAGATCGATTCGCCTTTAAACACGGATCTAAATAATCCCAGTAATAGGTTACTCGAGAGGGACATCAAGATAACCAGACAGACTTGTGTGTTGTATACTCGTCTACATGATGGATGTAGTTGGTCTCATAATTGCTCGTGTAGGAATACTAGGGATACAATACAAGTGCTCACTAGGGAATGAGTTCACTGATTGATCCGCTTATGGAATACTGAATGGTTGATGATACCTTATTGTTTGACAGCGATTTCGTAGTCATAGTGGTGTGTCTGGTCCTTAGACTTGAGACACATAGGATGTCCTATATAAGTGCTCCACTCTTTAATACCGAACTTATAAATCTAGCACAGCCGGTTATCGGGAGTGGTAGTTAACTTTACGAGGGCTATTGAGTGTCGATAAAGGATCATCCACTCTCAGTGTCATGAGAGGAATGTCTCATATATTCTTGCTTAGACAAATCCCTAGCTAGGGTCATTCAGATTGAGAGAGAAAGAATTCTTTAGGAGAATCCGATTAGAGCGAGATTCGAGTAGAAACCGTATGGGTTTGATAGCACCATGTCTGGCATACGGTCTTTTGGATATTAGATGGATGAGGGACTATAGGTATACGGTAATTGAGAACAAACAGGTCCAATGGATTGGATTCCCTTGTATCGTTTGGGGACTACGACATAGTGGCCTAGTACGTCCGTAGTCGATGAGTCGAGTGAATTATTATGGAGATAATAATTCATTGAACCAGAAGGAGTTCTAACATGTATGACTCACTGCCAGCTCGATATTAGGCCTAGAGGGTCACATACATATGGTAGGCATTGCGATGAGTAGAGGTTCAGATATGAGATATCCGTCGGAGCCCCTATCTTATTGGATATCCAATAAGCCCTTGAATTATTGGATCCTATGGATGAGATCCAATAAGAGCCCATGAGAGATTATTGGATAAAGATCCACTAATCTAAAAGGCTTATGTAGTTGGATGGAGATCCAATACCTAATAAGGGAGGATCCATTAGGGTTAAGTTGACAAGGGACCTCTATAAATAGAAGGGCTTCAATAGTTTATAAGCTAGAGCTTTTGCTTCCTCTCATATTCTGGAGTTTTGAGGAGCGTCATCGTAGCCTTGTTGTGTGGATCACCACTAGAGAGGAGGACGCTTGACCTCCTTCACCTTCTCCTATAGATCTGAGGGGATTCAGAGATATATGATCTCCCTAGGTAACATAATATATCTCACACGGGGTTATCTATTTCACGGATTTTTGTGCATCAATCTTCGCACGACGATGAAATCTTTGGGAATTAGGGATTTTATTTTCTGTTCTTTCGCTGCGCGTATGATGTTGCCCCCAAGATTTTCCAACAATTTTTAGGTTTATAAATAATTTGATTGAGGTTAAAATTTTATTTAAATTATTTATAATATTTTTTAAATAGATTTTATAGTATTTTTGTTGTGGTAGTCAAAACACCATAATAAGCGAAAAAAAAAAATTTGAGGGGCACTTTCAGGTTTTTTAGATGTATTATTTGAAAAAAATATTTTTTATTAAAATCATATATATATATATATATATATATATATATATATATATATATATATATATATATCTCATTAAATTGGAATTAAGATGTGAAGGTCTTTGATTTGGGTCTCCCTTTTTTAAAATTAGCGGATACATATGAGGTAAAATCCTTAAGCACAATGATTAAGCAACAAATAACATGTCACATTAATAAACTAATCTCATCCCTTCATGATACTAATTAAACCAACAATCACTCCGTCACAAACACTCAATCTTCTGTGTCTAGTTTAGTGGAATGAATTGACATCTTTCGCTGTCAATCAACTCAAGAACAAGAAACACATGCAAACTACTAGTGTGCCCAAAAAGAGAGGGCTTGAAATGGTCAAGACCGTGGTGGTAGGTGCTGTTCTTCCACAGCCCACAGCGACATCAAGAAGACTGGGTCAGATGCTGTCTGTCTGCGTGCATGAATTGATGGACTTGAAACCGTGTGGGGAGTTTTTGAAGTCTCACTTTCTCATGCTCATCATCGAGTTCTAATTCTCTTCTTGATTAATTTTAGGGGAAACGGGGATGGGATTAAGGTTGCTGTCATGACAACTACAAGGATTTGGGATGTGTGTTTCTTATATCATCGATCATATTCGTATTATCTCATTTGTTATTTGTCATTATATCTATCACCATCGATTATATAGAGTAATATCATTCGTCACAGATCCATTTTTTTTCACTCAGAACAATTATATGAAACACAGACACACTATATTTAAATATGTTCAATATATTGTCATTATATAGTGATAGGACATATTTTGGCATCATCCACATAGACCCAGGCAAGCAGACACGATAATATAGACGTGGAACTTCAAGTACGATGTGGCGCGCAGCAGACACGTGACGGGCGGTCGCTTGCCGCCCCCTCATACGAACGACATCATCACGTTACAACCATCCTAGAAAGCTTGGAGCGGTGCCGCGTGGTGCCACGCTACGTCAATCCGTGTAGGTCGGTCGGCGCTCGTATAGAAGCTTAAGTCGGCCGCCGCCTGAGGAGTCGACCATAGTGAATTGACCCTGTATGACCAACTCATCCCCACAGGTATAAAAGCTAACTCTCCTTAATCAGGAGGAGAGGCACTTCGAACACTTAACTCTTTCTCATTCCACCAAAAGCTAACTTAAGCTTCGGAGGGGTCGGGTCGAGAAATCCCCCTCCCGACCTCAACCTATGTGCAGGAGCTCAGCAATGGAAAAGCAAGCCACTCGTTGAGAGAAGACCGTGCTCGGGGGATAAGGCTCAAACCCGACCCGATACTCACCCTCACCACCCGAGCATCCGCGTGGGTGACCTTGCGCATCTGGGACAAGATCGAGCCGTGCTGACACCTCGGCTACGGCGTAAAGGTTCACTAATATTTTGGCGCTAGAGAAAGGGGCCCAATATCGTAAGATCATTCCCAACCGGACAACATAGTCGAAAAATTGGGCAACGAACGCCTCTCGACCCATTCGACTCCTGGGCTCGGGGAACAACTTCCACCTCCCCCTGAGCTGGAGGCGAACGGCTCCTTGGCCACCCCGGGGTGCTATTGGCGATTGTTCACGGACCCGGGGTTATCCCCCCAGGAATGGCTATTGCTCAACCTTCGATCTCTGCCGAAGCGTTCCTCGCCCTAATGCACCAAGTTCAAGTTCTGGCGGGGATGACGCAAACCATCGTCCCTCTCATGTCCCCCGTCGGATAGCTCTTGACTTACCCATCCACGCCGCATCGGGAGTTGCTGCCTCCTGCACCCGTGCAACCTCCACCCTCACTTGCGCCGCCTCTGATCCCCCGGCAACCCACAACGACGGACGTCACCTACTCACCCGAGTGGCGGTTGAATCCGAGGCAAATCCCCATATGTAGTGCGCGAAGCCTCCGACACCCCTACTCCGACAATCCCGAGCCCGACACATTATTATCCGACTTAGCAGACTCTCTCCGGGCACAACTGCGCTCGGTAAATCGATGCCTAGATGAGGTTCAACGAGAATTCCACAAGTCGAAAGAGGAGCTCGGTGAGGCCTCTTCA